TACGTAATAATATTTAGCCTGTGTTGTAAAAAGGAAAGAATGCTCAAGCATATCTGAGATGTATTACAAGTTTTTTATCTTAGATTTTTTGCTAATTCATATTGCGGAAGCAAATCTTAACTTGATTTGAGATTCTTATTTTACAAAATCATTTCTTATCTTTAGCTAATCCTTTCTAAGGTTAGAAAGTTACCTTAGTCGAGTTAGCCTGAACAAAACCGGCAATCTCATTTCAGTGCTGCAATGACCTGAACATTAAAAGCGGAAAATCCCTGTCGGCTGACTTGAGCTTCCTCATCCACTAGAGGCATGGAATAATCATTGAAAAAAAAGGCATAAAATGGATATATCAACAGTTGTAATGCCATTATTAGACAAAGCTGTTTTTTTTTCCTTTGGTTTTTGAATAATTTTGAAGTTAGAACATTTGTCCGGTTGCTCTAAAATTATTATTATTATTATTATTATTATTATTATTATTATTATTATTATTATGAATGTCGTATTAAATCAGTTTAATGTGTCCTTGATGAATAAGTGCATTCATGTCCTCAGACTGTGTGTGTGTGTGTGTGTATATATATATATATATATGTGTGTGTGTGTGTGTGTGTGTGTGTTTCCTTGTGACATCAGATTATTCCCCTTATCTCATTGTCAGATTATTCTTCAGATTATTCTCACTCCGTTTTGACTCATTTCTGAACACTAAACTGTATTTTGTGCTTGTCTAGCCAAACCAATGCCTGATTTAAGAATCTTTAGAAACAAGACGAATCTTCACGACGGCGCATTTGAGCAGTGTGTGTTCATCAGACGTCATCCAGCCTTACAGACGTTTAAGTGAGACTCCTGAAACTCTTCAGCTGTGTGTTCACACACTCTGCTTTCCTCTTGTCGTGTGGTTAGTTTCACACACACACATGGGTTGTGAAGTGTGTGAGGCTCTACATCCCAGGGCTGAAGCGTTCACCGCTGTGCTTCCGCTCTGTAGCGTCATGTTTACACACACAATAAGGGAAATAAGAGAGGACGACGTGTGTGTGTGTGTGTTATAGGTTCTGTGTGTTTACCAGCACTAGACACACGTTTGAGTGAAGCGTTCATCATGTGTGTTTTACTCTGTAGAGCAGTTATTGGCAGAAGATACTGCAATCAACAACATTACTCAGAACTCAAAAACTACAGGGTGTGTGTGTGTGTTTGTTTATATACACACACACACACTCAGAGTTTACCTTACCTGAAAGAAAAATACATGAAGCAAACCTATTTTCATAAAACCAGGCTAAATGAAGACAGAAATACAGACGATTTGGAGAAGTGGTGTTGAAATAACTCTGCTTTAGCTGGACTTTAAGCGGGGTCAGAGGGGTCTGCAGTTTGTTATGTAACATGAAGTGATCTGCCAGAGCGTTCAGCAGAGTAATATTAATACAGCCAGAGTTAGCGCTGAGGCTTTGCTCCAGCATTATGAATGAGCTACAGCAGGTTACATAAAGAGAAACGCCTCAGGAACAAACCCACGGTCATCTCTCATTAACACGGGTTAATGCTAACGCTACACACCGGGGGAAGTCTGGAAGAGATACCGCTGCGGGATACACTGTTCAACAATCACTCATATAGTACATGTGACGGTGGAGTTTAGTTCATATTATGTTCATATCATGGGTTATTTATTAAATAATCTGAGTAATACTCTGTATATTGACTGCTTTTACTCGTTCATTAAGCTAGTAATTTAGCTTCTTTAGATGTGCTGTTTAAATGCTGGTGGTTTGAAGCGCAGTGTTTTTCCTCATGTGACGGTAATAATGCCATAACTGCTGGTCAAAACGTCAACAATGATGATGATGAGGATGATGACACAACAAGGAGCTGGTGGACACGATAGGTAACCATGGTAACAGACCTGTCAGTCACGAGGAAACTACAGGATCTGTATGCTTCAATTGATGTTTATTGA